TGTGTCTGATGAAAATAAAATTATTTTAGGAAAATATGTATAAACAAACATGTTATCAGATTTGAACATTAAAATTTATTGGCATATAATGTGAGTTTAATTTTACTGGCTACTGATATCAATTAAAAATGAGGCTTTGGGGCCAGCCCCATGACCTAGTGGTTAAGCTCAGCGTGCTCTGCTTCTGGCACGGACCTACACCGCTCATCAGCCATGCTGTGGCAGTGACCCACATACAGAATAGAGGAGGATGGGCACAGATGTGAGCTCAGGGCGAATCGTCCTCAAGCAAAAAGAGGAAGATTGGCAACAGATGTTAGCTCAGGGTGAATCTTCCTCAGGAAAAAAAAGTGAGGCTTCACAAGGTTGGCCATATGTTGAAGCTGGGTGACTGTTCATAAGGATGGAAGTTCATTTTTACTCTTCTTTCTACCTTTGGGTATGTGTGAAACTTTCCATAATAAAAAGTGTTAAAAAGAAAATAAATGAGATTTCAGAAAACTGTTCTGGATTGGTTAATTCTGAAAAAGAGATTCCTCTTTTTATGCCCCTTAAAAAGAGCATCATAAATGTGTTCATCGATGGAGTTCAAAACTGGTCTAGATTCAATCTGTCAAAAAAATGCTTCAATATATACCCTGTATATAAGTCCTGCAGTTGACATTCTCTGATTGAACTTGGAAAAAAAAATAGGCTTACATAGCTTTCATGAATTAATTGAAAATACTGAAATTAAAAATTTTCAGTGAGTTATGACAATACTTAGCAGAAACAAGTCATCAGTTCTCTAGTTATTTTTACTTTCATGTTATTCCCCAGAGTATTAGATGGGGAATCAGAAATCTCTATAAGCTAATTCCTAGAATATACAGCTTACTTTATGTCTTAGTGTCTCCATTTTTTTCTCCAGTTAAGTGAGAAAAAACCCTGTGACTAAACTTTATATCTTCCAGAAGAATTTGGGGAATAACCATGTTTGAAAGAAGATTTTTCTAACGTATCATATAGAATTTTGTTACTACAGAGAGATTGTCTTCTTTGCTAAGAGCAAATAGAAAATAAAGATGATGAATAAATGAATCATTCTAAAAGTCTGTTTCATAGTGTCATCTCTTTGTAAAATTTCTCATGTAAGTTGCCACGTTTTTCATTTTCTTCTCAGCTGGCCTGGGCTTAGAGCAATGACCTGCCACTCTCATGTATCAAGTATGCACCAGAATATAGAAAAATACATAATCCTTGTCCAGGGTACAATTCGAGTGGGCTGATATAGCACAAGAAAGGTTCTGAAACTCTGTGGGTTACAAAGGCATTGGTCTCTGGGAGCCCTGAGTGATAGATGTAACCATGGTATGCCTTGTGACTTTGTTGGCTGGTTTGCTTAGATTTCAATCAAATTTTAAGGTAGCTATGGGGCGAAATGCACTAGGGGACAATTTACACAGTATCAGGAAGTTGTGGAGTGGTTTGCCACTCAGATAAAATTAAATCCTGAGAAATAAAACTCCTAAAGGAATTGAATATAGGAGAGAAGGGAAGACAATACCTTATCATTAAAAATCAATCACATATTTACTAAATGCCCTTCTGATGATTTTTTACATTTCAGTAGCTAAGAAATCTTGGTTTACAAAATACTCTCACATATGTTATCTTATTTGATCCTCCCAACAAACCGGTGAGGTAAGTGGGCAATTTTAAGATGAGGAAATTGCATGTCAGAGACTTAAACGCTTCCTGAAGGTCTAACACCCAGCTGAATGGGGCAGGGGGCACGGAAACTACCCCGGCCTCCAGACACTGTCCTGTGGTCTTTCCTGTTGACCACCCAGTACTGCGCTCCTCCATTCTGTGCTTGGTGCTGTGGAAGATTCAAAAGAAGTAAAGACATGATCCCTGCTCCCAATGAGTTTATGATCTAGACGGGAAAATGCAAGTTTTACATAATGAAACAAGCAGAGAATTATTAAGCGTTAAACTGTATGCAAGGGGCTATAAATACAATAACATTTGGATTATTTTAATTGGAAAATCGGGTGCTATAAATTCTACCCAAGCCCTGAAAAATGTGTTTGTAGGTGCACAAGAATACTGGGCAACTGAATATTTCTCAAGTCTTCCGGCCAGCCAATCAATGTTTTCTTGGAGAAGTCCCATGATTAATTATTGATGGAGGTAAGCCTGTCGGGGAGAAAGGGAAAGACAGGATCTTCTTATTCCTTATCATGTACTTGCAGGTACAGTCTTGCACAGCTCTGCAGTGACACATGGTTGCTTGCAAGAGCCAGTTCTTGAATTGTCGAATTCTTATTGGTCTCTGTTGTGCCTCAGACTGAGAAGTGGAAGCTTGTGGGAGCTAGTCCCGGCCCTGGCACATCTTTGTTAGGTGCTTCAGGCCATCGATGGAGGCCACCAAGCAAATTGCCTCTTTGCCTCCTCCTATGTACCTAACTGCAAAGGAAGAAAAGAGGAAGAGTCCAGTTTTTTGAAGAAAACTGCCTGGAGGCAGGAGAATGGGCCCATTTGTTCTACCCTCAGAAGGACTATGGACTTAAAGGGTCTGCAGGGACTCTGTGATCACTTTTATTTTCTGATGTCCTAATGCTCAAACCTAAAACTTTCCAAACCCATGTTTGTTTCATAAGCAAAATTCTATTGAAAATATCTGTTCTTTCTTTTTCAGCCGAGCAAGCCTGTCCTCAGAGACAGCTGCAGGCTAGTCACTATCTCTTCCTGTCTCTGTCTTCCCCACTGAGTGGCATATTGCCTGGGAGGCCCCATGGGGACTTACAAAGCCATCAGTGAGTGACTGGCAGCAATCTTTTAAAAAAAAATGCACATGGCTGGCCAGGTTCACCAACATTATGGATATTCCTGTGTAGTTTTCTTCAAAATGCTTATTTGCTCAAGTGTCCATTGGAATAGGCCAGCCTGGGTGGATCTACTGTATAATCCTGCTTACCACCAGGGAAGAGTCAAAACAGCAGTCACATGCTGGCAGGTAGCTGGAGTCGCTCCTCAAGTGTCAATGCATGCCTACTCGAGAAGAGGAGAGGGCCGTGGGAGAAATCAGCTTGGAGTACAGAATGCAACTGTAATGGTCTGTGAATAAATGTGAGGGTGCACTTTGGAGGCACTGTCAGCAGCACCAACAACACTGCTCACTTACCCTGTCACTTACCCTGAGCACTTGAGTGCAAATGTGAATACAATTCTAACTCCTAAACCCAAGCACATAACCACTGCCACTGGATCACCCATGTCTTCAAGGATGCATCCTTTGAATTACTTTCCCAAGAGTGGCAATGGATTTATGCTGAGTCACTCAAGCTTTTATTTCATCCAGTGGTTATGAACATGGACTCTGGGATCAGCTCTGTCACGTACTATCTATGTGACCTTAGGAAGGTTACTTAAAAATTCTCCTTGCCTTCTATTACCCATATGTGAAATGGTGATAATTATACCAGCTACCCCATAAAGTCGTTATGAGGATTAAATGAGTTTAGACATGTAAAGAGCTTAGGACATTGCCTGGTACATATTCTGTACTGTATAAGTGTTAGCTATTTTCATTCATTCATTCATCTAATATTAATTTAAAATCTCTGCTCTGGACACTGCTAGGTGTTGAAAAGTAAAGACAAATAAGACACAGTACGTGTCCTCAGTGGGCTTACACTGTATATTACAGGCTTGTGTTTTATTTATCTTTATCTAGCCCAACAGTTGGGAGGTAATAAATGTTTTTGAATGTGTGCTTGGACTAGAGAAACAGGAAAGTATACTGATAATTTCAGTTAAATGACTGTATTTAACAGTGCCTGGCACATAGTAAGTGCCTGGCACCGTATAAATATGATTAGCTGTTTTAATTATTAACTTAGTAGAATAAATGCTGAGACTGAGTGTGCGGACTGGAGGTTGAGGGTGAGGAGGTGGAGGTGCACTCAGGGAAGTCTTCCAAGAGGCAGTATCATTGAGCTTAGTTTTGATCAGCGAGTGGGTGTTAGCCAGTAAGAGAAGAGGGCTAAGTGTGTTCCAGGCAGAAGGAACATTGTGTGCAGAGCTAGAGAGGCGTGAAATAGCACAATACATTCAGGGAGCTCCGAGTAGGCAAGTACGACCAGAGCCCCATCCTCATTGTGACATACAGCGTGCGTTTGTTAAATGAGTATTTGAGATTAGAGGCTGAGAAATGAAACAAAACAAATGAGACATCGCTTGTGTTACCCTGGCCTTTAACATTAACTAAATAACCAGTCAGGGACAAAGTGGCTAGGGAATTTTAAGTTGTTCAGTATAATTGCTTGCCCTGGTACAAATGCTGTTAGTCTCTATACAGCATTGCTCTATAATCAGCCCCTTTTTGTCTTTTGATAGAGGAAGTAAATTCACCTGCTTTACCTGTTTTTTCAAAGTAATTGAGATGAATTACAATAAAGGTGATGGGATTATAGTATGGATGCAGGTGTTTTTGCATAGTAATGTAGATTTCTCTAGATCAGAGGTTAGCAAACTATGGCCTGAGGGCCAAATCCTACCCACTGCCTGTTTTTGTAATTAAGTTTTTTTGGAACACAGCCATGCTCATTTGTTTACATGTAGTCTAGGGCTGCTTTTGCACTAGAACAGCAGAGTTGAGTAGTTGTGACAGAGACTGTATGGCCTGCAAAGCCTAAAATATTTACTAGCTGGCTTTTTCCAGAAAATGTTTGCCAATCCTGCTCTAAAGTCATCTCTTCTAATCTGATGATAAGTAAAAACCACCTAAATATTTAAAACAGGGGATTGAGTTGGTTTAGAACCAACATGCCAACAATAGATTATTAAAATTTTTAAGTTCACTACCAAGGAGAGAAGAATGCAAATATGTTAGCCATGAAGGGTGCAATAAACATGAATAAATGAATGAACATAGATTCTGTGATTGGCCTTCAAATTTGACTCTGAGCTTCCTGGCAGTCAGAAAAAAAAAGAAGGGAATCTGTCATTGTATTAGTTACCTATTGCTTCATAACAAACGCCTTGAAACTTAGTGGCTTTACTACTTCTCATGAGACTGTGAGTTGGCTGAGTGGTTCTGCTGATCTGGCCTGGGCCCAGTTGATCCTGGTGGGCTTGCTCATGCATTTGTGGTCAGCTGGTATGTTAGCTGTGGGCTGGCTGGTCCGGGACGGCCTCAGCTAGGATGGCTCCTCTCTACTCCACACCATCTCTCATCCTCCAGCAGGCTTGCCTAGACTTGTTCACGTAGCAATGGCAAGTTCCAAGAAAGAAAGTGGAAGCACACACTTAGGCTTAGACATGGAACTGGCACACTGTTACTTCTGTTGCATTCTAGTGGCCAATGCAAGTCAAAAGGCCAGCCTAGATTCAGTGGCCTAAGTGGGGAAATAGAGTCTACCTCTTGATGGGAGGGATGCAAAGTCACATTGAAAGGGGCAAGGAAACAGGAGGGAGAAAATTGGGGCCGTGATTGAAATCAATCAATCAGCATCTAAATCAGCATGTATTCCAGCTATAAATTTTTTAAAAAATCACCTCTGCAGTCTAAAGTGGAACGGCATATTCATTATATATCAGCCTATTCAGCCCCACCCACAGAGATGAATCATCATTGTCTTCAACTAAGAGGACCAATATCCTCTAGCTAATGACAGATGCAGCGGAGGTGTAGAAAGAAGCCTGTCACAAGTTTGGTACATGTCATATGAGACCCAGACCCATATTAAAATGCCATCTTAATGAATTTCACCAGGAAATCAGACTCAGTTTTAATGGGTTAAGGAGATAAGGAAAATTGTTATCACAGAAGTAACCAATGACTAAACTGAACATCAGCCTTTGAGACTAAAGCCTAAATAGACCTAGATATTCTTGCTGACCATTCCCACTCCCCTCCACTTTGTTATCAGGTGGCATTAAAATTGGTCACTGTATTCAAAGACAACATTGCTATCTATGGATATAGAAGTGATTGAAAAGACAGATAGGGAATAAATATTCTGTTTAAAACTCACTAGCCATGTAATGATTTTTTTTTATTTATTGCCGGAATATCTTCATTATTACCAAACTTGCCTCAATAAATAATGTTAAGTATAAATAGGAGCAGTGATGTCAGAAATCCTCCTTAACTGTTCTTTTCCTGGAAACATGGCCTGTCAGTAAGAAGAGAGTAAACATAAGTAGCCCTTGCTCCTTAGAGTCATTCAGAATCCCCCAAAAATCTAAAAAAAAAAAAAGCAAAATACAAAAAAACCCCAAACTCTCAAACCACCCAGACAAGTCCCACAGCCTAGGTGTGAGAACATTCTCTCTGGCCCAGAGCCAGTCAGGACGTGTGGCCTTGTTTGCAAGAAGCTGACATCTTTACACTTGGCTTTCCATGGAGCTGCCACCATCAGCCTTCTGTAGTATCAGCAGTAGTGCATAGGGAGGAACATGACAGGATTCAGGGAACTATTAGATGCCTGTTGACTCAGACATCAGCACCAGCTGTGAAGGGAAATATATTTCAACTTAGATACAGTGAAAAGGAACGGAGCTGTTGACATTGAAGAGGTGGGGACAAAACTTGCGGGATACTTGAAGATGACCAGTTTCTGGGAGGGTTGTGGGGAGGTAGGGCTATCTCAGGAAGGAAAAATGAAGCTTCCAAATGAAGCTTGGGTGCAGAAAATCAGAAGTTAACCTTTGGTGGGTCACGTAAAGGTTAAATGATATAACATGTCATTTAACTGCTGGAGTACCTAGAAGAGTAGACCTCAACAACTGTTGGTTCCTTTCCTCTCTCTGCATCTCCCACTCACCTTAGGGATTTCTTAAAAACGAAAGACCTGCCAGCCAGCTGACATGGGAAAGATACCAAATAGGATAAGCTGCTGATAGGTGGTAACAATAACAAAATTCACACTTCAGGTGGATGGAGTAGGGCATGTCACTTCTCCTGCCCCTCTCCTCATCACAGCTTGGAGGCAGCACAAAGACATTCCTTCCTTCCTGCAGAGGAAGTGTGTGTGTTCTCTCAGACCTACCTTGGCATTCCTTGATGTCTTAGAGAAGCAGATGACCCTGGCTGAGCAAGACAGTCAGCAGAAGAGCAGCCCTTGATGCTGCAATTGGAAATTTCCATTCTTTGCTTGCAGCTCTGAAAAAAAAAAAAAAAAACTAAAGAGCCCAGTAGCTGGGAAATTTCCACGATGGAAAATTTTAACATATTCTTTAGCTCTAAACTATGCAGGTTTATAGAGACTATTTTTTTTTCTTTTGGCAATTTCCTTCTTTAACAATAATTTATGAACATGGTAACACTACAGCTGTGGGAATCAGGAGGGCAAGATGACTTGGAGGGGATTGAGTACGGTTTGGCTAGTGGGAGGCTGTGCTATACACACATTTGACCACCTGAACCATAGAAATGCAAATCACTACAAGACCCACAGCTTGGGAACTCATCCAAAATAGAGATAGTTTGCCCTGCAGCACTGCAGAGAAATCTGTGTAGAGACTGGAAGTGGAAAGTGAATGGATACAACTTTGGAACAGGAGATGGTGAGTTCTGTTGCTGTAAAAAGCAATCTCAGGCAGATCCCTTAGACTACTGCTTCTTAAACCTAAATGTGCATATGGATCAACTGGGAAGCTTGTGAAGCTGTAAATTCCAATTCAGTAGGTCTTGGATGGGGCCTGAGACTCTGTGTTTCTAACTGGCTCCCAGGCAATGCTGATGCTGCCCTTCTGAGGACCACACTATAAGTAGCCAGGCCATAGACAACAGGTCCTCATCAGTATGAGGTCAGCTTGCCTTCAGTAGCAAAACACAGTCACAGGGCGACTGGAGGTGCGCTCCCTTGGAGATGTTTTCTCAAATTGCAAAGCTGAGGTCAAAGAGTAGAACTGAATGTCTTCTGGAAAGATGCTCCATGCGTGTCTGGATAAAGTGGATCTTTTGAAATGTGGGGATGCAAGCAGTTACCAGAAGCCTACCTACTCCAGCAGATTCAAGTTGGTGGTTTCTAGAATGCAATGCCTTTCCAGAGAAACCTCTGTAACAAGCTGGTGGAGATTCCTAAGCTGGTCCTGTCTCCTGAGTGATTCTCCAGCATTCCGGCATGTGGGGTGAAACACCAATGAACTAGCTCCAATTATTGAGGGAAGGCTGTTGGCCAGAATTGTGGAAAGGGGAAAAGGAATCTGGAAAATAAATTACTTCAATCTCAGCCAGAATAATTGTCTTGCTTTTACTGAAATAAAAAGAGAATAGGAGAATATTCCATTTTCTTAACAATTATCTCACCTTCGTGCTACCTATATTACTGAGCTTCAGAAAGAGAGATCAAAATCTGTGGCACTTTTATTCCAGGGTGTTACCTCCAATTGATCTGTAAGTATTTGCTGTGTGTATCTTTAAAGCAACATTTGTCCTATCTTTCATTTTCCATTCAACTGAGTTTTGAATGGGTTATTACTAGTTACTTTTTAAAGTACCCAGGAGCATATGGACAAAAAGGAAGAGGGAGATTATTATCATGAGGATGTGGTGTTGAAATCAGAGTGAAACAAGCATGACATGAATTTGATAATATAATAAAAAGTATTAAAATATATATTAAAAGTAAATATTGTGCTAGTATCCTAACATCTACATAATATTTCTAAATTCTAAGTGGCTTATAGGATCGTTTAGGGATTTGGACTTCTGGAGATTGGTTAACATCTTCCCTTTCAAAAATCTTCACTGTGAGGTTAAGGTACGATTCGGCACTGAAACAGACTTCCTGAACTTAAGTAAAAGAGATCACTTTGGTTTTTTCTTACTATAGGTCTCAATGAGCAATTATTCATGTAAGAACCATCTCACAACCTACAGCCAATCAAACAGAATTTGCTTCATACATCTGAATTCAAGTTTCTTAATAATAAATCTAATAATTATAATAAAATTTAACATTTTGGAGTGCGCTTACAATAGATGAGGCATTTAATCCTTACAACAAGCTTATAAGATGGGTACCATTATTACATAGATCAGAAACTGGGATTTAGAGAGCTTAGATGAATTATTTGGGATCCATACGTTATGGCCAAGCAGAGTAACCTTCTTTGGTCAGCCTCACTTAACTCCAGTGCTTTTTCCAGATGCCACAGCTACATCAGCTTCACTTCCCTTATCACGGACAGATGGATAGATACTCCTTCTCAAGTTGAACAACTTCACAGAGCTTGATTCAAATACTGAATGTGTTGTTAGTTGCTTACAGCTGCTATTTCTCTAGCAGTGCAGTAAGTCCAGGCAAACTCTTTTGAAGAGCTCATTAAAACTGCTAAAATAAAGTCTTAGAAGCAGGTGCATTCATTAGCTGAAATGCAGACAATTATGTTAATATCGCATTCAGGTGACAAATTTAAAGCCATCAAAATCATGGAGGATAAAAGGATTTTCAAAGCTAAAGTTAACTTCTTCCTTTGTAGGGCTCCTTGTTCTGTTAAGCATGTGACTGCCTTGCAGCTGTTGACATGGGGACTTCCAATGTTACCTCACAAGAATAAAGGCGTTTTGCAGTATCATATTTCCTTTACAATTTCTTGGGGCTCTATTCAGGAAAGGAAAGATAAGGAATTGCCTACAACCCTAGTGCTATTTTCTAAATAGGAAATCTAGCACCTTATTTACAATCTATCGTCAGATTGGGCCCAAAGGTAGAGGGGACACATTAATAAGATGGTTAAAATATGTGGATGATGATTCCAGGTTTGCATCAGATGAACCAACAGCTCTTTCACTTTGCCTTTTTTTTCCTCAAAGAAATATTGGGCACGATATATGTATGTGATTGTACATATGTATTTAGGTGGCCATACGTCGGAATGTTAACAACAGTTACTCCGGGGTGCTTTTGGTTTTCTTTTTTCTATGTATTTCTCAAATTTTCTACAATGAATATGTATTACTCTGTAAATTTAAAAATTATCATGGAGCAATTAGCCTCTCCACATTCAGTTGTTTTAACCATAAAATTGGGTTACTATTTAATTGCCTAGCACCTGGGAGCTGGAGGAAGTGTTTCCTCCAAGTCCTTTCTTCTTCTCAAATCTAGGATGTCTGTGGAAACATCGATTCCTCCTTTCAGAAGAAAATATAAGAAAAAGAGGGCTAGCTATCCAGCCACTTATAAAACATTATAAATGTGCTTAAAGATTTTTGTATTATTCTTCAGCACCACAATCAAATGGGCATTCATCAAAGTGAATGCATCTGCCACTTGCAAAGGGAAAAAGACTGAGCAACCTTTTAAAACCAAATTAACTTTATTTTTAATTTTTTTGGTTATACACTTTGGGAAGCCTTGTAAGCTAATACTTGACCATTCATTTTTTCAAATGGTATACTACAATGACTGTATTACTGATTCAAAAATATAAATAATGGAGCTGCTGTAGACTTGAACCCATCTACTTTAGGACGTGTTTACATATAGAGTGTGTGTGTTTGTGTGTGTTTGGCTACATAGCTTGAAATTAATAAGCTGAAAGACTGCTTGTACAGTGTAATAGTCCTATTTTTGCCTTCCTTCCTCTTCAACTCTTCTGTCTCACCCTGTGCACTGTTACTTTCTCTTTTTTCCTGCATAATTTAAAAGGCCATTGACTCCATTAAAATGAAAAGCAATATAGAAAGCAGGAAAGATCTCTTTGGGATGGGGTTGGATATGCATATACTTCTACATACGTGTGTGCACACATGCCCCTTTCCTGGCCAAGAGTGGCCTAGCTGAATCCCCGCTCTGAACTGCCATGAGTCTCATTACTTGGGACTTGAATAGAATGTGGGCAGTTCCTTCCACTGCAGGACGGCTCTGAGTCTCCTAGGAATAATTTCCCACCCACTCCAACTCCTGTTTAATTCTCAGAGCTGCCACCCTCTGAGAAGCTGCAGATTCAAGACAGTGGGGGAGGGCCGGCCCCATGGCTTAGTGGTTAAGTGCATGCGCTCTGCTGCTGGCGGCCCGGGTTCGGATCCCGGGCGCGCACCGGTGCACCACTTGTCCGGCCATGCTGAGGCTGAGTCCCACATACAGCAACTAGAAGGATGTGCAGCTATGACATACAACTATCTACTGGGGCTTTGGGGGAAAAAATTAATTAATTAATTAATTAAAAAAAAAAAGAAAAAAGACAGTGGGGAGGGTGGTCATAAGAAACTCCTGTCTTTCCAATATGAAGCATCACTGTCATAAGATTAGAGAGTAAACTTCAGAGCACAGAATTTAAACATGAAAGGAACTTGAGAGGTCACCTTAGTCAAGTTTTCTTTAAATGTAGGTGTCTCTTCTAGAGCATACCTGATAGTCATCCAGCCTGACCTTGAAATTTTCCAATGACGAAAACTCTCCTACTTTTTTCACTTATGTACCAATAGATGTGTAGATAGAGCACAAATAGCATTACAACTATAAGGGCAAAAAGAAAAAAAATTAATTATTCCTAATCCTGCCACCCTTAAAAAAATTAACTATTTTTTAATTTCTGTGACTGACCCAGGACCTCCCAGTCTCAAGTAAATATAACCTTTTAAGGTCCATGAGGAATGTAAAGAGACTGAACCATTTGGCTTAGAGACACTTTGGAGATTTTATTGGTCCATGGTGCCCATCACACCATGAGAGTCAGACCCTGAAAAGGAAAATTGTGTAAAGAATTTATAAGCTTCAATACCACACTATTTCCCAAGTCTCTTCCTAATTCATCCCCTTTCATCACTCTGACACCATACAACAAAAGGAAATTTCTGCGATTATCTTATCCAGAGTTCTTTCCAACATTTACAAATACTATCTAAGCTGAGCAGTGTGTTCCCAAGTAACTTAAATTGTCCGTGTGATGATATTCCTTTCAAAGGAAATTGGGGAGCTCAGCAGCTTTCTGAAACAACTAGAGGTGACAACACAAAGAACAAAAATAACAAAAGAAAACCCTTCAAAGATAGTGTGCCCTCTGGAAACAGTTAGGTATCCTGCCTTTTCACGTTGGCTCTACTGGAGATTTTTTAAAAATGAGTTTAAAATGAAAGTGCTGTTGAGTTTTGGGGAAACAAATTCAAAAAATCAATCAGCTAATAGAGAAGATAGAAGACAGTGAACTGCACTTTTGACTAAATAGAATGGAGAGGGTTTTTTTTTTTAATGATTATTATCTTAAATTATTTTTTAAAAACCTATGGAAAAAAATTCAAATAACCCAAAAGAAAATAAGGAAGAAAACAAAAATCCCCTCACATCCCACTACCTGAAAATAACCATCATGGATTTTATGGGAATATCATTCCAGACATGGAAATGAGAGATATTCTAAAAGGCAACTTACACTCAGGCAACTAAGCATGGTCTTATTGACGACGGTCTAAAGAGACCAAAATCTGACTTTTTAAAATGTCTATTTCATCTGAAAAGTGAAGAGAAGAAGAATTCTCAGTTCATAAGCAATTATAAGAATGTGAGTTTATAGAAATTAGCAGATATTTGTATTTTCATCTATATATCCATTATCTGACCCTCGATTCAACTGCACCTAAAACATATTACAATAAAGATCGGTTTCCATAATGCTTTTCAGTTTACAAATCAACTTTAGACTGACTCTCCTGACCATGTAAAATAATCAGGGTTGATATTTAGCTGGTACATATTAGTCTGGCCATTCCTGTTGTTTATGGCCAAAGTGTCCATTCTGCTTAATTGGACATCGGTTTTGATTGGTCCTCACCAGTGCTATACCAGTAATTATATGTCATATCAAGGTCCATTTTTACTGGTTGTGCCTCTTTTTCTGCGCATACTAAATATTTCCCTGAGCCAAGGTTTATTCTTTTAATTTCCTAATCTTCAATGTTTTAAAAAAATGTGTCACTCAACCCCATTCATTTATCGGTGAACTTATCCCATAAGATTCCTCTCTTGCAGGAGTGAAGTAATTTTTACTTGTTTAATTGTTTCTTTATGAAAAGGAAAGAGTAAAATTACCCCTCCCCTGCTCCTATACACGCCTCATTAAATTCAGATTTGGGCCGAGACTTAACTGGAAATTTTCAAACTCGGAGGAGATTTTGCTCCTTTATGTTGCAAAAATCGGGGACATTGTGGTCTCTATTATCTGCATTTAAATTCAGAGAACATTGATACTGATTATCCAAATGCCAGATTATCCCAGTTATTTCTGTTTAAAATTTTTATGGTAGCTCTCCCTTCCTACTTACATTGGGCTAACGCTAATACAAAATTAGATGCCATTTCCTGACTTACTCATCAACTTCACATTGAGAAAATGCAGGTCGAATAGGTGGAAGAAGAAAGCCAATATTTCCTTGGTACCCACATATCACAATTAAAGGTAAATGCTTAATCAAAAGTACAGATTTTCCATGCAATAATATCTGTTTATCTCATCAACACTAGAACATTAGACCACCTGATCATTTTTCTGGAAAAAAAAAGTGTAAATAATTTTAGTAAATTAAATCATATTTTTCCACTGACATGTTCTAATTTAAAGATATAATTTCATTTTAATCGATTTTTAATTGAGAGTGGCATTTAACCATTCTCTTACTATTGATACTTATGCGTATCAAGCCATAGGTGCAAAGTCCATGCCTCTGAAACTTGTTTTTACTTTTATTGTATATAAAGAGCAGGAGCCACATTTTTCATGTAGGAGTTAAGGCCACACTTCTTCCTCCTTCCTTAACTTCAGTAAGCGGCCACCTCCATGTTGCGATGTTTGAAATTTCATACTTCCTTAACAGTCACTAATTAGGCACATTAGGGAAAGGACCGATTTGAATTAGTGAACATTTTGAATGCTGTATTATAAAAATACATAGTTTTATCCCTTTATGGTACAATATGCCACTCAAGCAGTATATAATGAAGTATTTCCGAGAAGAAAGGCTACTTCTACGGCTGCTTTAAAGATAAGATTCTTCAATATGGCGCACTTTAAGCTTTAAGCAAATCAATGTTGTTAGGTTATCTGAATATGTTCAGTTCACATTCACTGAGCAGTTACTATATGTTTGGCATCATGCTAGAAAAATTTTGTCCTCTTGAGCTAACAATTCACTCTAAATTTTCATTCATTTTGCCTAGTAAAACTCATGCTTTATTCAGCACCTGTCTAAATTTACTCATTTGTTCAAAAGATATTTAACAGTTATAGTAGGTTAGGGACAACACAAATTCAAAATGACTGGGGTCTTAGGGTGAAAGTCATTTACCATGTGGACCAACACCAATCAATCAATCAATTAATCAATCAATCCACCAGCCCTTTGTTCTGGGTAATCTAGCTAGTTGAGGGTTTCTCAACCTTGGCACTGTTGACGTTTTGGGCTGGATAATTCTTGTTGGGGGGAGCTGTCCTGTGTATTGTAGAATGTTTAGCAGCATCCTTTGCCTCTTTCCATTAGATGCCAGTAGCACCCGCACTTCTAGTTCTGATAATCAAAAATGTCTCCAGACATTGCCAAATGGCCCAGGGTTTGGGCGGGGAGCGGGGGAGGCAAAATTGCCCCTGGTTGAGAACCACTGAGCTAGTATGGACATCATACCTTCTTTACTAGATTATAAAGACCTCGAGGGCAAAGACCCAGTCTGATTCATCAATCTACCACCCCCTTCCCCACCAACTAGATTTAGTTTCTGGCACAGAAATGCTTCTTGATGAATGTTCTGAAAAGAACAAAATATCTCCGGAGTACCTATACTGTCATCAGCCCTCAACAAAGCACTTTGGTAAACCGAGAAGATGAATAAGGTAACTGGGGGTAAATTGTCTAACAAATCTTTACGATTTGAATAATCACTCCCTATTCATATCGTATACCCACTTTGGTGCCAAATGCTTACATTTGTGTAGGGCTTTAATGTGTATGAAGCACATTTCACATTACGGCATTTGATTCTGATATAAGGATAATCACTTTGGCCACCTCTGTTTATAATTTAAGCTCCCAAGGCCCAGAGCCATATTCTCAGGCAGGAGCAGGAAGTATTTTGATTTCGGTGGCGTTGCCTTCAGTTATTAAAAGGAACTCTTAAGATTAGTTTAATAGTGTTAAATTTAAAGTTCAGGATTCTTTTTTGCCATGTTAAAAGTAGGACATCCAAAATGCTCTCCAGTGATCTAAGAGGATCTGGTTTACTTAGATTCCTGGAAATTGCCAGAGGGCTTTAAGGGAGGAGCGAAAAAAAGAGTGAGGAAATTTTCCCTGTGGGCATTTGGGGAAAACAAAAATATTTTTGTGCTGTGGAGACTTCTCAGGAAAGGAGGTTTGGCCAGCAGCGGCATCTGCGCAAGGGGAATTTCCACATTTGGGAAAACATGGTCATAATTAATGAATTAGGAAAGCCAAGAAAATGAACCATGTTGGAAAAATATGATCTTCAATGGCCAAGTCCTTGTCAACTGATTGGTCTAGAAAATTGGATTGTTTTAGAAAGAGATTTTTATTTATGGATATTTGCCTATAGGTCCTTCCTTCTGTGGATCTAATAAGTACCCTGCCCTTGCCTGGGGAATCAGTTTTCCATAGCCAGACCCACTCGCTCTGTCCCTCCCTGCCATAAGGGAGTGTTTGCATTAGACTTCTGGCCTGGACAACAGCCTGTAGTCTTTTGCTTTGAACATGATGCTTCAGACTAGCCAGCAGGGCTATTAGCATCCATTAGACTAGAGATGATTATCCAGGATTCTTGGACAAGGGCAGAAGGATGAGATTGCATGATCCTAATGCAGCCATCATTTATTGAGGACTCCATGTCCTAGGCCTTGTGCTAAGAACATTGAAAAACTATCCTGACTTTTTTTTTTTTTTAAAGATTTTATTTATTTAATTTTTTCCCCCCAAAGCCCCAGTAGATAGTTGTATGTCATAGCTGCACATCCTTCTAGTTGCTGTATGTGGGACTCGGCCTCAGGATGGACGGAGAAGTGGTGCCTCTATGCGCACCCGGGATCCGAACCCGGGCCACCAGCATTGCAGCGCGCGCACTTAACCACCAAGCCACAGGGCCGGCCCTATCCTGACTTTGACATGAGGAAACTGAGGCTCAGGGAATTTAAATAAGTTGTCTAGAGTCATATAGCTTTTAACTACCAAACTACACTTCTTCCAATCTCCTCATCCAGTATACAAAGTTTATTCCCTAAATTGGAGTGTTCTCACCCTGTATACAACGTCTCGCTTACTTAACTACTCCCTTCCTCTGCCTCTTCCCCAGATCACTTTGTTTAAACTAGATTTGGTCTTGGGTTATGCTCATCAGAGAACTCCATAGTTACCTATCATTCTCAAGAGGAGAAATCTGGATCAGCAGGCTCAGCACCATTCATGTCTCTCTTTACTTAGGGAATGATTATGTGGTTAGAATGTTCTTGCTCCCCTATTTGATTT